TCCCGTAGCCCCTGCCTCTACAACACTGACACCAAAGAGAAGCCCATTTGCTAGAAATCACATGTGAAATTAAAACCTAAACTAGAAGTGCATGCCACCAAAAATACCTATCCTATTTTTTTTTAACTCTGGAAAGTAAGAACACCTCGTTTCTGCACCTGCCCCGCACACTCAGCTGTCCCGGAGCCTGCACCGAGGTGCCAGCGAGCGAGTCCCTGCTGCCCGTGATATGGAGACACTGGAACCTAGTAACCAGCCGCCGTGTTCCTCCACGGCAGAGGAGTGGAAATAGGAGATTGTGTGGGGTTTTTCCACACCAACAACAATTAGCATATAAAAGGCACGCTCAGCATTCCGGAAATTGGAATGGTTTTACAGACTCTGTGCCAGGAACACGGGGAAAAAAGAACAAAAGCATCTATTTATTACACTGTCTTCCGAATTCTATCCTCTCGCTTTTCTAGGTTTTCTCATTAGGGACGGGTCCGGGGGAGGGAGGAAGTCCAAGCCAGACCACTGCTCAAAGCCCCAACTAGTTATTCAGAACAAGAAACGCAGCCAGCCCTACTCTCTGCTGTGGCAGCACAAGGATGTTTAGATCGAATGAACTATAAGATCACTGACTGAGTCCGGCCCGTGTGGCTCAGTGGCTGAATGCAGACCTAGGAACCAGGAGGTCACGGTTCAATTCTCCGTCAGGGCACATGCTCGGGTTGTGGGCTCGATCCCTAATAAGGGGCGTACAGAAGGCAACTGATTAATAATTCTCTCTCATCACTGTTGTTTCTATCTCTCCCTCTCCCTTCCTCTCTGAAATCAATAAAAATATATATTAGAAATTGTTTAAAAAATAAAATCCCTTCCTTACATTGTTACATTTCTTTTTTTATTTCTCTATTCAATCTTAATCCATAATAACAGAGGTTAATGTACTTATAACTCTTCTCAAAGAATTTTTTTTGACTGACTTGTTTCTTGGATTTTAATTTCATTACTTTCCTTTTAATATTACTTAAATTATTTTTTGTGAATCAATTACAAACAGAAATTTAATTCTTGTTTCTCAAGTTTGAAAACTAAACTCTGAAAAACAAACAAACAAAAAAAGCCCTAGAAAGACACCCTCCCTTCCCAAAAATGTTTGCAATACTTATTACTGTTTGATAAGAGATAAGGGAACTCATCAGTATTTCATTTATTCAACCAAGATGAAGTCTTTGGGATGATCTGTCTGCTGATGTAGACACCGAGTATGTGTAAGATGAAATTTACACCCCGAGAAAGAAACAAAAGTAGAACATGATCAATAGCAGCTAACAGTAATTTCTTCTTTGCTTATAATGTGCCAGGTACTGTTCTAAGTTTCTCACATGGACTTTAATCCTCAAGTGACCTCATACTGAAAGAGGAAAGGCACTCCTATCATTATTCCCATTTTATAGGTGAAAAAGCCCAGGAATGAAGACGCTAACAGCTAGCAAGTGGTAGGCGTAGAATGCAAATCAGTACTCATAGCCATGAGCACATTGTGTACAACTTTAGTGTTTTTAATGGAAGTTTCATTATGTTAATAGTTGCCAAAGCAGATCGAATACTGTGATTAGTTACATGACCCTATTCGTGCTTATAAAATTGCATTTAGAAAACTTGTTGTTGTTGTTAATCCTCACCTGGGGATATTTTTCTCATTGATTTTTAGAGAGAGTGGAAGGGGGGGTAGAGAGAAAGGAAGAGAGAGAGAGAGAGAGAGAGAGAGAGAGAGAGAGAAACATCGATGTGAGAGACACATTGATTGGTTGCCTCCCACATGTGCCTGCAACCCAGGTAGGTGCCTTTGACTGGAATTGAACTTGGGACCCTTCTGTCTGTGGGCCCATGCTCTATCCACTAAGCCAAACCTGCTACGGTGCATTTAAATTTTTAAAATTGATTTGAGAGAGATAGAGAAAGGGGGGAGGGATGGAAAAAGGAGGGGAGGAGAAAGGAAGAGAGAATAACATGGTTCTGTTGTCCCACTTATTTCTGCATTCATTGGTTGACTCCCTGGCATACAGGGACAATGTTGCAGCAACCAACTGATCTACCCGGCCAGGGCGAAACTGCATCTGCAAGTCCCCTGGTTCTAGGTATGCAGGCTTTCTGCTTCCCCGGCTGTCTGCGCTGACTGCCTTTTTCACTCGGCCCCTCTCTGTCATCTGTCCGATGGGGATCGTCAGCTCATTCATCACCTGACAGATTTACTAACTCACTCATCATTTTGCCATTTACGAGCCTGTCCTTCCCACTCATCCTCCACACCCCAGCTGCCGCTCATTCTGACATGCCAGCTGCCTGCCCACGTCTGCCAGCCAGCCCGGCTCTCTCCTCGGTGGGCCGCTGTCATTATCTCATTTGTCGGGACGTTTTAGTCCTTTTTCCTTATTAACTTGCCTTTGGGTATTTCCTAGACTTCTTTCTTTCCATCCTTGTTCCCCCGGGCCGATCATTTGGTTCATTTGTTTATTATCACACCATATTATCCATCCCTTGTCATTTGACAGCTTTTCAGATTCCATTAACCAAGATGCATAAGCATTTAAATTCTCTCTCTTGTTCCCATTAGATGAAACCCATCCAGGTTCTGCCCTGTGTTCAGCTGAAGTAGAATTTGCAGGAGAATGACATTTAAATGAGCATGTATTGCCTGGCTGGCCTGGCTCAGTGGTTGAGCTTCAATCCATGAACCAGAAGGTCATGGTTCAATTCCCGGTCAAGGCATACGCCTGGGTTGTGGGCTCGGTCCCCAGTAGGGGGCATGCAGGAGGCGGCCGATCAATGATTCTCTTTCGTTATTGATCTTTCTCTCTCTCTCCCTCTCCCTTCCTCTCTGAAATCAATAAAAAAAATATATTTTTTAAAAGACCTGTGTTTGTTAACAATATCACATATATACGAAAGGCAGACCGTTTCTTTCTCTCTCCTGAAGTCAGTGTGCAAATAATCAGTGTAACTGATTTTTAAAATTTCTCTTCGTAAAAAAAATAAGAAAAAATAAATAAATTTCTCTTCGTCATTAGGTCATATTGCCTACATAGCGCTATTCTTAAATCAATTTCAATCCATTTTTCTATCTTTTGGGGAATCAAAGCAAACATAGCAAAACAATCAAATTTGAGACCAATCAGCATTTTTGTATTTTGATAAAAATGCAACAATTTGATTTAATACCCATACAATCAGGGTGAAATATGGATGTTCCGGTATTACCGTTACTTATTGTACCGCATAAGACTATTCGGAGATGAAAGATAAGGTCCTTGAGTAATGCTCTTCATTAAAAGAGGTTGGACACTTGGAAGACAATCTGGTAACTAAGAGCCTCTAAGTTACAATTTTTTAAAAGCCGGGTAAGTAGACAGGCCCTCAGAATAGCATATTAAATTCACTTTCAAATTAGTATAGTTCAGCATTTCAGACTTATGATTTGTATGCTTGGTAATACTTTTAAAATTAACTGTGCCGCGGACGGACACAGCACACACTTCTCAGCCATAATAATTTTTCTAAGGCTATATCTTTATAACAGTAATTGCCTTCTTAGTGAAAGAAGACGCATTTAGAATCGAGAGACACTTCATTACTTTTCTTATATGAGAGCTACCTCAGCGTCTGAGATTTTTTTTTTCTTAACGACTTTTTTCTATTAGGAGAACGTGAAGACTCCAGGGCAAAGGAAGCCCATTAGGAAGGGAGGCATTTTAGAGGCAGGGCTTCCCAAGGTGGACACAACTCTTGTCAAGAATGGACGATGCAGCCCGGCCGGCGTGGCTCAGCGGTTGAGCATCGACCTACGAACCAGGAGGTCACGGTTCGATTCCCGGTCAGGGCACAGGCCCGGGTTGTGGACTGGATCCCCAGTAGGGGGCGTGCAGGAGGCAGGTTCATAGGTCGACGCTCAACCACGGAGCCACGTTGGCTGGGTGGTCCACGTTCCTTTTATCTCCATTCCTACCCGGTCCACATCATTATCTCCAAGTCTAATCACTTAAAGAAGAGATGTAAGTAATTCATTACTACAAAAAAAAGAAAAAATCCATACCGTCTTTTCCATTATCCATCAGAACCAGGAAAACCTCCCGCCCTTGCACAGACACGGACACACAAATATATTCATGCGCATGCGGAGAAGAACATGCCTACGGGCCAGCAGACACAAACCTGCTTGGGGTGCTTTTGAGATGGAGGAACCAACATCCTCTTTCCATGTCTCCCCAGGACCATCCCAAAGCAACGTGAGAAGCCACTCACTTATACACAGATACGTAAATATATTACATAAATGTATGTATTGATTTTTAGAGAGAGAGGGAGAGGGAGAGGGAGAGAGAAACGTCGATGTGAGAGTGAAACATCAATCGGCTGCCTCTTGCACGCCCCCTACTGGGGATCAAGCCCGCAACCTGGCATGTGCCCTGACCAGGAATGGAACCGGTGACCTTTCGGAGCACGGGACGACATCCAAACAAATGAGCCACACGGGCCAGGATGAGTGATGCTCCTTTCTTCACTCTTCCACTCCGATGAACATCCCCTTCGCAGAGGCGCACAGTCTCCAAAACACACAAAGAGCTGACATTCCTTGCACTCCGCTAAAACACGCCCTATCTGTGTGATCACACGTGAGCATACGTATATGCACGCACGTGTTTCCACGTCTGGACAAAATGCATCTACGCTTATTAGATCGTCTTGGTTCACGGCATGTCCTCGCAGGAGGGCACCGGAAGGGAGCAAACAGAGAGAGGAAGGCACGCGAGCATCTCAGGCAAGCTCCTGAGCGGCTACTCTCCAAGTGGGACAGGCCACATGCGCTTGGTTATCACTTTCGACGCTTTCAGCAAGGTCTGCTTTCCCCTTTGGGCAAAAAAGCCACAATTCTGTGCCAATCACATTGAAAGCGCTCCCACCACAGAGGCCACAGCCCTGTTCCAAGGCCACCACGGAGAGCAGGTGCGACTTACCACGAGGGAGAGAGGCCTTTTCCAGGAGACGACGCCAATGAGTCCTGACAGCAGCACCTGGAAAGACAAACGGTGCAGGAAGGTGAGATGCTTCGGGAACCTTTAACGCACAATCGAAACAGTAGGGACAGTTGCAACCTGAAGGATCACTTCTAGAATCCAGCGTGTGCACACTCACACACACACGCGCGCGCACACACATACACACACACACACGCACACACACACGCACACACGTTATTCTCCGGCCCAGAGCCCCAGGTCTCCCTCCCCAGCTCCTGTCCAAAAATGCACCTGCACTCCCCTCCCCAACCCAGTCTCCCGCTTGTCATCTTTATCTCCCACAGGGCACCCCTCCTCCTGGTCACTCAAATCCTGGGGACGGTCCCCTCCGCCCCCACATCCCAACAGGCACAGTGAAGGGAGGAGGTGTGGCTCCCCCTCCAACAGGGCCCTGCTCCAGGAGGCCCCACTGTAAGTAGGGCCTAGTGTCTCCCACAAGCCTCCTATGAAGATGAGTCCCCCAGGCAGTCAGGGCCCAAGCAGGAGGGGCACTTCGGATTTAAGACATGAATGCAGCCAGGCCGGCTGGCATGGCTCAGTGACTGAGCATCGAGCTATGAACCAGGAGGTCATGGTTCGATTCCCGGTGAAGGCACATGCCCGGGTTGTGGGCTTGATCACCAGTAGGGGGCATGCAGGAGGCATTGGGTCCATGATTCTCTCTCATCATTGATGTTTCTCTCTCTCTCCCTTTCCCTTCCTCTCTGAAATCAATAAAAAACTATTTTTTAAAAAAGACATAAATGCAAGTTTCAAAGATGAAATCCAACCAGCGCCCAAGTGCATGCAGGAGCCTCCCGCCCTCTCCTCCGCCGGAGCCAGCGGGAAAGGAGCTCGGAGTGGCCAGGTGTCTCCCCGTCTGGGGAAGAAAGTTACGTAAACCATTTGCAAATCGTTCTGATTCTCTCCTTTCAGAAGTGTCCTCTTTGCGCAATAAAAACAATGTATTTGTTGGTACAGTACATTAATTCCATTAAAATCACATTAAGTGTAATGAAAAGCTCTCAGAGTCTAATTACGCTGGCGAACTCACAGACCCGCATCAACTTTTAAACCCACTGCAATTACAACAGGAGGCGGACCTGTCTGGTAGACAAATCGTTCCTCCATTTCCAAACGATGGTGACTGAAGGCCCACTGTCCTAATGCTACAAACCACACACTACGCATGCAGACCCCAAAATCTGTCCCTAGAGGGCCTCGGCCTGTTCTCGGGGCCAGACCCTCGCTGTGCTCCTCAGTCCTGACTCCTCTGAGTTCATCTCCCCAGAGCACACTCCATTCTTGCAATTCCCGCCCTGAAGGGTCCCCTAAATTCCCCAACACTCACAGTGGCACCTCGGAGCGCCCTCTGCAGTCCAGACCTGGCCACTGCGGGGCCCACAGGCTGCCAGCCTCCCTCCCTGGGCCCTTGCAGCCCCCAGGTGGCCCTCTCTCCTGCCCTCTGCCCTCAGGCCTGCCCTGGTCCTCCTAGGCTGCCCAGGCAGAGACGTGTATGCCAAGCGAGTCTGTGTCCGTGCACGTAGTGAGGCCCCGGGAGGAGGCAGAGTCAGGAGGACAGAGGAGGAAGGGGTAGGGGACTTCCCGCACTGCTGACCATCCCACGGGCGTGTGAGGACCAGCCGGCCGCCCACTGTCTAGAGCAGGGGTGGGGAACCTTTTTTCTGCCAAGGGCCACCTGGGTATTTATAACATCACTCTCAGGCCATACAAAAGGACCCACTTAAAATTAGCCTCTCTATTTGCTCAAACATTTCATCAACTCACCCCTAATGCCTTGGCAGGGCCAGACCAAATGACTCTGCGGGCCTTACACGGCCTATAGGCCGACATTCCCCACCCCTGGTCTGGATGAAGTGACACATGGGACAGCGAGGTTCTACCTAGACCCCTGCTCCTCACTCATGGCCTATGTCCATCTACAGGTTCAGACGCTCCTACGACCCCCCAACAGAGGCTGAGGGACCTGGACAGCCGTGCCGCACTGGTGGCATGAAGGGATCCTTCCCTCTGACCATGTGGCCCTGGACAGATGCAGTGGCCTCCCCAGCAGCTCAGGTGGTTGGGTGTCAACCCATGTACTGAAAGGTCGCCGGTTCAAATCCCAGTCAGGACACATGCCCAGGTTTCGGGCTCAATCCCCAGTAGGGGGCGTGCAGGAGACAGCCGATCCATGATCCTCTCTCATCATTGATGTTTCTCTCTCTCTCTCTCCCTCTCCCTTCCTGTCTCTCTAAAAATAAATAAAAACATGTATTTTTTTAAAAATCCAGAATGAAGAAAGGCTGTTTTAAGTCTTCAGGCCTATGTGCAATAATGAGGTTTTTTTTTAAAAAAAAGGACCTTTCATGTGAGTGACATATGAGTAGTATATATTATCTTGCAAATATAATTCACATACATTTTCCATATAAATCACCTCAAATCAAGATCTGATTTTCTCTAATAGCTCTAGTCTGAAAAGAAGTTATGAACAGGAGTGAAGAGACACACACGTCCACGGCTTCTTTAATTGCATTTTCTGCAGAACCCTGCAGTTCTATTTTTAATATTTGATTACACCATCCACAGCGCTATATTCCACAAAAGCAATTACGTTTCGCTCAGCGGAAAAATCAGAATGGAAGAATATGCGGCACACTACCAACGGTAGGAAGAAGGAGCAATTTAGAACATTTTAGGATAATGATTGAGATCACGGATTCGGAAGTTACAGCAAACACATTTTAAAGACATCTTATCACGGAGCTGACTGCAAGTTGAAGTTATGCACCACGCAGACGGGGGAAAACCGCCCCGGGAGCCCAGGATTTTATCAAAACACTGAGGGAGGCACTCTGAAAACCTAAGCTCTTACCAGCACTTCTCCTCACCGCTCTCTCCAAGTCCAAAGCGGCACCTACCTCACTGTGCTTTCCTCGTCGCCAAGGGCTTTTGCCCAAACGTCTAGCCAGCGCTAACGTAGCTGATGTTTTCCCCTGCTATGTTCATGCTTGTTCACGACATTTTCTTGTCTTTTGTGTTTCTAATATTCCTGTGTTTTGCTATTTTGGTCAACTTTTCTATTGGTTTGCTGTTTCCTTTTTCTAGGCGTTTGTAAATGATACATCTCTTTTCTATACCATTTTTTAAAACACCTATTTGAAATTATTTATCCAACATGTGTATAGCAATAACACATATGCCTACAGGTTTTGTAGGTACATGTGCTTTCTACTCCACCTTACCTCCCTGATGTTTTGAACAACCACATTGGTATCAACCATTCAGACCTAACTTCACATTTTCTTGTTTTAATTGCTCATTGCTGCTTTGTTTATACCAGTTCTTCTCATCTCTTGATTTACTTGTAATTAATAATATTTTGCATTTGGCTTATACACGTCAATACTTTCTTTTTTTCAGAAATGAAATGCAGAGACTTTTAGTTATTTTTCTGAAGATATCTATTGTTTGCTCATTTACATGAATGAGCTTAGAAATTTCACCTACAGAAAGCCTAGAGAAATTTGCTTAACAACCGTTCTCCTTCTAAAATAAATACAGGTTGCTGCATTATCTTCTAGCATTTCGTTTTGAGGACATTCCTAAGACCTCTTCACCTCGAACGTGCAAAACTGACACAGAGATGAACAAATCCATCACAACATGAGCAGAATACTCCCTGGCTCTTATGGCGATGAAATACTGTGATACGCACCTAACCTACTTACTACACAAATTAACTTTCAAACGGAATATCAAGTGAGAAAACAGACATGTTTAAGAGTCCGTGGAGTAAAATAACGATCAAAGCACTAACTGGGATGGGATGTTCCTAGAATCGCTGGGAGTCTGAAATTGATTTGAGAGCAGCCCTGTGGTTAGCCTTCTACATTCCTAATCAATTCTCTCACGGGAAGCTTTTGGACAGCTACACTCTCACGCACTCAAAAAATATGTTTCCATTTCTGAAAGCATCACTTTTCCATTTTTCTTAAGCTGTCACACCAAAAGGAAAAAGTAAGTTTTCTGAATTGTTTAAATGTGCATGACTAGGACATAGGATGTAAAGTGGCCAGTGTTCTCAGTCCACGCCCATATGGCCAAACGCATCACTAGATCATAAAGAGCACCCAGAACTGGCAGACTGGATAACGCGGGGGGTCCTGGGCTGCCACTCACCAGCTCCTATCAAAGTTAGTATAATGAAAATGTCAAGAAAGCGTCACATTTAGAAACCACAAAATACAAAGATGGAGCTGTCAGTCACTCCGGACGCTTGCCAAATGAAAAGTTTAAATATAGTCATGGGTGAGCAGAACTACTGCCAACCACGTAAGCTCACCAGGCAAGACCTGGTCTTTCTTGTCTAACACGATATATCCCCAGCTCCAAACACAGGACTGGGTACACAGCAGGCACTCAGATCATTATGCGTGAATGGTAGGTGACTGGGTGGGTGGGTGGATGGAAGGGTAGGTGGGTGGATGGATGGATCAATGAATAAATGAACAGACAGATGAATGGATGGGTGACTGGGTGGGTGGGTGGATGGATGGATGAAGAAATAAGTACAAGGATAAATAGATGAATGGATGGGTGAGTGGGTGGGTGGATGGATGGGTAGGTGGGTAGATAGACGGTAGAGTGGGTGGGTGACTGGGTGGGTGGGTGGATGGATGGGTGAGTAGATGGATGGGTGAGTGGGTGGATGGGTGAGTGGGTGGATGGATGGGACGATGAATGGAAGGAAGAGGGAGAGAGGGAGGGAGGTTGGGAAGAATAACCCTGTACAAACAACTCTGATCTGACCTATCTTTAATGGTCCTGGAGACCACCACCTCCCCCAAAATAGCCAAGGATCCACTCTGAGTCTTGGGTGGACTGACAAAAGGAAAGCAGGGAAAACAAAATGGAATTGTGCTGGAGGTCGGTCTGCCTCCCTCCTCCCTCCCTTCCTCTCTCCCTCCCTCCCACTCTCTCTGAAAAGCAATGAAAAAAATATCCTTGGGTGAGGATTAACAATAAAGCCACAGTGAGTATCTTCACACACAGGTTTTATTGCCGTCGCTGATTTTAGTATGGACCCTTTGAAATAGGATGAGTCACCAGGCATAAAGGCTGCACCGTCATCATTCCCTCCAGTGGGTATGAGAGTAGTTGCCCCCTATACGCTCACCCACACTGAGAGCCTATTAAAAGGCTCTTTACTAGCTTGGTGGACCGCCCCCCCCCCCACACACAAAGAAAAGAGCTATTTTCATTTGCATCTAAGTTCAACACTTTTCCGGTTACTTGCCTTTGGTATCTCTTCAGCGACGTGCCTAGTGACTGACTAGATCCTGCTGCAGCCGTGTCCATGGGATGCTAATGTCTCCCTATTGATTTATGACTGCTTTTAGTGTAATAGGGATGGATGGGGAGGGAGACAGGGCTATGCCCTGACTCGCCAGTTCCGGGGGTGGGTGTTTGACACACACAGGATGCTAATGGAGTTGTGGTCCATTGTATCAGACTTTCCCCTTATTATACCTTCCACGGCAGGTAGGTGCCTCGGTCCTTCAGCCTGGGATCTATCTATCTGGGGGACATTCTCTTTGCCTCATTTCCTTGACTGAAAATGGAAGATACAGAGAATGACTTTGCAGCTGCCCCTCCCCCATTTATCCACAGGGGATACATTCCAAGACTCCCATGGGTGTCTGAAACCTTCCTACTACCAAACCCTGTGTATACTGTAATTTTTCCTATTCATACATACCTATCCATATAAATTAAGTTTAATTTATATATTAGGAACAGTGAGAGATAAACAAAAATAACTAATAAAATATAATTATAGCAATACACTATAATAAAAGTTGTATGAATGTGCCATTGATTTTTTTAGAGAGAGTAGAAGGGAGGGAGGGAGGGGGGAGAGAGAGAGAAACATTGATGTGAGAGAGAAACATCAACTGGCTGCCTCCTACACACCCCACACTGGGGATCAAGCCCACAACCTGGGCATGTGCCCTGACCAGGAATGGAACAGTGACCTCCTGGTTCATAGGTTGACGCTCAACCACTGAGCCACGCCGGCTGGGCTGTAACAGCTCCTTAAAAAAAATTTTTTTTTAAGATTGTTTACTGATTTTGAGAGAGAGAGGAAGGGAGAGAGAGAGAGAAACATCCATCGCTGCCTCCTGCACACCCTCTACCGGGATCAAGAGGGAAACCTGGGCATGTGCCCTGACCAAGAATCAAACCAGCGACCTTTAGGTGCACGAGACAAAGCCCAACCAACTGAGCCACACTGACCAGGGCTATCCCAGTTCTTAAATGACCATGATCAACTAGGGTTGCGTCATTATCATATTTTGAGAAACTGAGCGATTACAGATTATTAGGCGTCTTCTAAGCGAATGACTGTAAATGCTACCTGGGAGACTAACGACCTGGGCCTAACCACCACCAAAGAAAAATAACATCCAAGTTGGCAACCCTTGTTTTCCAATTAATATGGTGAATAATCATAGAAGCCACGCTCCTGTCACTTCTAAATTGACAAGGAAAAGAAAAAAAGCTTGCCAGCTTTCCCGCTATCGTCTGGTCGCTTTCTAGTTTTCATTTAATGGAAAACTTGTCAAGTCACAACTTTTTTATGTGCCTCGCTGCACAGCATTTTCCCACAAACGAGATTTCCTCAAGACAATAACGATCCTGACAACAGGAGTCGGAGAACAAGATGGGGTCAGTTATAAAAAAGGAGAAATGGTAAGAAATCTATTTTTACCTATTTTCATGGATGTTGGGCATGCCTGACACTGTCCTATTTTGTAAATTTATTGCCTTGTTCCCTGTGATCTTCATGATAAATATGTTGTCACGGAACCTGGCTGACTAGCTTTCCTCTTCATTTTACAAATGCCGCGTATATTTAAC